CTTTTGGATTATTTGAAATTTTTGTACTCCATTTTAATGTACCTACTGAGTTTTAAGATTATATATCTGTATAATTTTTTACTGGCTTTTTTAGGGATTATAATATGCATACTTAAGTTTTCACAATCTATTTAAGATTAATATTTTACCACTTCATGTGGAATGTAGAAACCTAATCAAAATATAGGTCCTTTTAGTCCTCCCTCTTTATGTTGCAGTTGGCATATGTATTTTAGATATACATACCTCACTAGACAATGTTATAACTTCTGCCTTTTTTAAAAAAAAGATTTATTTGTTTGTTTGTCAGAGAGAGAGAACAAGCAGGGGGAGCTGCAGGCAGGAGGAGAAGGAGGCTCCTTGCTGAGCAAGGAGCCCTATGTGGGACTCCATCCCAGGACCCTGGGATCATGACCAGAGCCAAAGGCAGATGCTTAACCAACTGAGCCACGCATGCATCCCATAACTTTTGCTTTCAACTGCCATATGTATATATATATATATATATATATATATGATTTTATTTATTTATTTGAGAGAGAGAGGGCAAGAGTGGGAGGGGCAAAGGGAGAGGGAGAGAGAATCCCAAGCAGACTCCACATTGAGCACAGAGCCAATGCAGGGCTCAATCCCACAACCCCAAGTTCACAACCTGAGTTAAAACCAAGAGTCAGATGCCTAACCAACTGCACTGCCCAGGCACAGAGCCAAATATATTTTAAAGAACTTCAGGAGAATAGTCTATTATATTTACCCACATTTTTACCATTCCAGTTCCAGGTTCCCCTCTGGTGTTATTTCTCTTCTATCTGGAGAATTCATCTATTGTTTCTTCTTTTTTTTTTTTTTTAAAAGATTTTTATTTATTTATTTGAGACAGAGAGAATGAGAGAGAGAGAGCACACGAGAGGGGGGAGGGTCAGAGGGAGAAGCAGGCTCCCTGCCGAGCAGGGAGCCCGATGCGGGACACGATCCAGGGACTCCAGGATCATGACCTGAGCCGAAGGCAGTCGCTTAACCAACTGAGCCACCCAGGCACCCCATCTATTGTTTCTTTTAAAGCAGGTTGCTGGTGATGAATTCCTTTAGTTTTCCTTTATCAAGAATGTCTTTATTTCACCATTATTAACTGAAATAAATTTTTACTGGACATAGACCTCTGGATTATTTTCTTTCAGCACTTTAAAAATGTTGTGGCAGAATAGGATCCAACAGTACATTAAAAGGATTATTCACCACAGCTAAGTGGGATTTATCCCTGGGCTGCAAGGTTGGTTCAACATCCACAAATCAATCAGTGTGATACAATACATTAATAAAAGAAAGAACAAGAACCATATGATACTCCCAATAGATGCAGAAAAAGCATTTGACAAATTACAGCATCCTTTCTTGATCAAAACTCTTCACAGTGTAGGGATACAGGGTACATACTTCAATATCATAAAAGCCATCTATGAAAAACCCGCAGCAAATATCATTCTCAATGGGGAAAAACTGAAAGCTTTTCCCCTAAGGTCAGGAACACGGCAGGGATGTCCACTATCACCACTGCTATTCAACATAGTACTTGAAATCCTAGCCTCAGCAATCAGACAACAAAAAGAAATTAAAGGCATCCAAATTGGCAAAGAAGTCAAACTCTCACTCTTTGCAGATGATATGATACTTTATGTGGAAAACCCCAAAGACTCCACCCCAAAACTGCTAGAACTCATATAGGAATTCAGTAAAGTGGCAGGATATAAAATCAAGGCACAGAAACCAGTGGCATTCCTATACACCAACAACAACACAGAAGAAAGAGAAATCAAGGAGTCGATCCCATTTACAATTGCACCCAAAAGCATAAGATACCTAGGAATAAATCTAACCAAAGAGGCAAAGGATCTGTACTCAGAAAACTATAGAATACTCATGAAAGAAATTGAGGAAGACACAAAGAAATGGAAAAACGTTCCATGCTCATGGACTGGAAGAACAAATAGTGTGAAAATGTCTATGCTACCTAGAGCAATCGACACATTTAATGCAATCCCTATCAAAATACCATCCACTTTTTTCAAAGAAATGGAACAAATAATCCTAAAATGTGTATGGAACCAGAAGTGAAATAAGTCAATCAGAGGAAGGACAATTATCATATGATCTCACTGATATGAGGAATTTGAGAAACAAGGCAGAGGATCATAGGGGAAGAGAGGGAAAAATGAAACAAGATGAAACCAGAGAGGGAGACAAATCATAAGAGACTCACTGAGGGTTGCTGGAGTGGAGGGGGGTGGGAGGGTTGAGGTGGCTGGGTGATGGACATTGGGGAGGGTATGTGCTATGGTGAGTGCTGTGAATTCTGTAAGACTGATGAATCGCAGACCTTACCCCTGAAACAAATAATACATTGTATGTTTATAAAAAAGAAAAAAAGTGCTGTGGCAGGGGCGCCTGGGTGGCTCAGTCGGTTAAGCGTCTGCCTTAGGCTCAAGTCATGATCCTGGGGTCCTGGGATCAAGCCCCACATCGGGCTCCCTGCTCAGCAGGGAGTCTGCTTCTCCTTCTCCCTCTGCTACTCTCTCTCTCTTCCTCTGTCAAATAAATAAATAAAATCTTTTTAAAAAATGTTGTGGCAATTTCCTTCCTTCTGGCCTTGGTGTTTTTGATGAGAAATCCTCATTTATTCAACTCATTTTTCCTTTATCTTTAAAGATTTTATTTATATGAGAGAGAGAGAGAGAGAGCATGAGCAGGGAGATGGGTAGAGGGACAAGCGGACTCCTTGCTGAGCATGGAGCTCAATGCTGGGCTCTATCCCAGGATCCTGAGATCATGACCTGAGCCAAAGTCAGATGCTTAACCAACTAACCACTCAAGCACCCCTGTTTTTAGTAGCTTGAATTTCATGCCCTTGGATGTGGATTTCTTTGAATAAATCCTGTTTATGGTTTACTGAGCTTGAATATATATGTTTCACCAAATTTGGGGATTTTCCAGCCACTAATTCTTTGGGGGGCTTGGGGGTTTTTTTCAAGTTTTTTTTTAAGATTTAAAAAAAAAATTTATCTATTTAAGTAATCTCTACACCCAATGTGGGGCTCAAACTCATAACCCTGAGATCAAGAGTCACATGCTCTTCCGGCTGAGCCAGCCAGGCACCTCTCAAGTTTTTATTTTAATCACCTGGTGCTCATCATGACAAGTGCACTCATTAATCAGCATCACCTATTTCACCCATTCCCTCCTCCCACCTCCCCTCTGATAACCATCAGTTTTCTATAGTTAAGAGTCTGTTTCTTGGTTTGTGTGTCTCTCTTTTTTTCCCTTTGCTCATTTGTTTTGTTTCTTTTTTTTAAAACAATTTTCTTTTTTTTTTAAGATTTTATTTATTTATTTGAGAGAGAGAGAATGAGAGATAGAGAGCACAAGAGGGAAGAGGGTCAGAGGGAGAAGCAGACTCCCTGCTGAGCAGGGAGCCCAATGTAGGACTCGATCCCAGGACTCCAGGATCATGACCTGAGCCGAAGGCAGTGGCTTAACCAACTGAGCCACCCAGGTGCCCTGTTTTGTTTCTTAAATTCCACATATGAGTGAAATCACGATATTTGTCTTTCTCTGGCTGACTTATTTCCCTTAGCACTATACTCTCTAGCTCCTTCCATGTCATTGCAAATGGCAAGATTTCGTTCTTTTTTATGGCTGAATAATAGTCCATTGTGTGTGTATGTTTGTGTGTGTGTGTCCTTTATCCATTCATCAATCAATGGACACTTGGGCTATTTCCATATCTTGGCTATTGGAAATTATGCTACTATAAACATAGGGGTGCATATATTCCTTTGAATTAGTGTTTTTGTATTCTTTGGGTAAATACCTAGTAGGGTCATTGCTGAATCATAAGGTAGCTCTATTTTGAACTTTTTGAGGAACCTCCATACTGTTTTCCACAGTGGCTACATCAGTTTGCATTCCCACCAAAAGGGCATGAGCATTCCTTTTTCTCCACATCCTCGCCAACACCTGTTGTTTCTTGTGTTGTTGATTTTAATCATTCTGACAGATGTGAGGTGATGTCTCATTGTGGTTTTGATTTGCATTTCCCTTATGATAACTAATGATGAGCACTTTTCAAGTGTCTATTGGTCATCTGGATGTCTTCTTTGGAGAACTGTTCATGTCGTCTGTCCATTTTTTAACTGGATTATTTGTTTTTTGGGTGTTGAGTTGTATAAGTTCTTTATATCTTTTGAATGCTAAACCTTTATCAGATATGTTACTTGCAAATATCTTCTCCCATTTCATAGGTTGCCTTTTAGTTTTCTTGATTATTTCCTTCACCATGTAGAAGCTTTTTATTTTGATGTAGTCCCAATAGTTTACTTTTGCTTTTGAATCCCTTACCTCAGAAGACCTATATAGAAAAAAGTTGCTATGGTGTATGTTGGAGAAATTACTGCCTATGCTCTTTTCTAGGATTTTTATGGTTTCAGGTCTCACACTTAGGTCTTTAATCCACTTTGAATTTATTTTTGTGTATGGTGTAAGAAAGTGGTCCAGTTTCATTCTTTTGCATGCTGCTGCCCAGTTTTCCCAACACCATTTATTGAAGAGACTATCTTTTTCCTTTTGCATATTCTTGCATCCTTTGTCAAAGACTAATTGACCATATAATTGTGGGTTTATTTCTGGATTTTCTATTGTGTTCCATTGATCAATGTATCTATATTTGTGCCATCACCATACTGTTTTGATTACTATTTTGTAATATAACTTTAAGTCTGTAATTGTGATGCCTCCAGATTTGCTTTTCTTTTTCAAGATTGCTTTGCGTTTTCAGGATCTTTTGTGGTTCCATACAAATTTTAGGATTGTTTGTTCAAGTTCTGTGAAAAATGCTGTTGGTATTTTGATAGGGATTGGATTAAATGTGTAGATTGCTTTGGGTAGTATAAACATTTTAACAATATTTGTTCTTCCAATCCATGAGCAAAGAACGTCTTTCCATTTCTAAAAATATGAAATGCTTCATGATTTTGCATGTCATCCTTGCACAGGGGCCATGGTAATCTTCTCTGTATTGTTCCAATTTTAGTATATGTGCTACCACAGATAGCACCCAACCATTAATTCTTTGAACATTTTTCTGTACCACATTCTTTCAGTTCTCTTTCTGGGATTCTGATAACATTGAAGTTAGATCTTTTGGTGTTACCCTATAAATTCCTGAAGCTCTGTTTATCTTTCAACCTTTTTTTAAATTGTTGTTCAGAATGGATATTTTAATGGAACAATTTGTCATCCTCATTTTGCTATTGAATCCATCAAGTGAATTTTTCAAATTTCAGTCACTATATTTTTTTAGTTCTAAAATTTTCATTTGGTTCTTCATTGGGGATATTCCATTTCTTTGCTGAGACTCGTTAGATTTCCATTTATTTCACTTCTTGGAGAATTGTTATCATACCTACTTGAAAGTCTTTGATAATTCCAGCATATATGTCATGTTGGCATCTATTGTTTGCCTTCTCCCTTGTAAGTTAAAATTTTCTTGCTTCTTTGTGTGCTGAGTAATTTTAGATTTTAATCTGGAAACTCTGAATATTGTATATGAGACTTGGGTCTACCTTAAATTCTCAGGAGAATGTTGATATTCAGGTTGCAAGTTTTGATCTGCATTCTGTGAATTGTGGTTCCAATGTCAGTTCAGTTTTCAAAGCTTTTCCAGTGTTATTCGAAACTGTCCCACATGTGCACCACCCAATGGCCAGTCGAGAACCTGATCAATGGTCTACTGCATTGTTCAGTTCTCAAAGCCTTTGATACTGTGTAGAGTCAGATCAACGCATCACAGCCCATACGTGAACCCAGGATTTGATACACCACTTTATGGGTGTACTCATACACTTTATGGGCTCACTCTTTTGAGCTCCCTTCTCACAGTTGCTGGGACATTTCCAGCTCCCTGAAGTCCTTCTTCTGGTCCTCTGTCCAGAAAGCTAAGACTTTAGTTTCCATAATCTCCCATGTACTTCCCATGACTATCGCTGCATCCAGGACCAAGCAGCAGGAGAACAGAGAGATAAAAATGCAATGGATACTTGCCCCCTTGGTCTTGGACCACATTTCTCCTGGTCAGAGGGGATTCCTCTCAGTGTTTTAGATACTGCCTCTTCACCACTATCTAAGGGTAAATTGGTTTTGAGCAAGGGTCTCTTTAAGAATGAATGAGTTTTAGGGGCACCTGGGTGGCTCAGTTGTTAAGCGTCTGCCTTCGGCTCAGGTCATGATCCCAGAGTCCTGGGATCAAGTCCTGAGATCAAGCCCTGCATCAGGCTTCTTGCTCAGTGGGAAGCCTGCTTCTCCCTCTCCTCCCCCTGATTGTGTTCCCTCTCTCGCTGTGTCTCTCTCTGTCAAATAAATAAATAAAACCTAAAACAAAAAAAGAATGAATGAGTTTTAGTAAAAAGGAATTTGTGCCTTATCTTCATATCTTGTATAATAGCTTTATTTATTTTTTTAGGGCAGGTAGCAGTTATATTATGGATAATCAAATCTCCAAATAAGTTTTCTATAATAATAGGAATTACTTTTATAATCACAAATAATAAGTACTATTTAAAAATAAAATAGCTATATAGATTGTTAAGAAGCTTCTCCTTATTCTGTGATGCTGGTTTAATGTGATTGCTCAATTCTCAGGCACATAACACCACTGTTCTCATACAGAATCTTTTTTTTTTTTTTTAAGTATGCTCTACACCCAATGTGGGGCTTGAACTAATGACCCCGAGATTAAGAGTTGCATGCTCTACCGACTGAGCCAGCCAGTCGCCCTTGTTCCCACACAGAAACCTGAATTTTTAAAGCTTGGCTGAGCTCCAGTCACAGCAAAGCAATCAAAGGACCCTTCTAACTTTGCGAAATTCCATGTTCTCTTTGTTCCCATCTTATTGTGGCTGTTCACAATGAGAGATAAAAGGTCAGGACTTTAGCTTTCAAAAAACCAACTTGGACAAATCAAGATAAATACAGTCCTGAACTCATTTGCATGAATGAATCCCTAGTCAATTCTTCCAGACAGAAGATGTCCTTGAGGGGAGTCTGGCATGAGCTTGAAAATATTATCATAGAATTCATGTTTGACTGCTTCCTCTTTCCCATTCATGGCTGAAGTTCAATGGTCAGAGAAAGGTAAACAGGTAATGGTTTGATGTTATGGAAACTGAATAATAAAAGTTCACATATTGAGAAGGAGGAATATGATATCAGAAAAAAAAAATCTCCTCCCTTTAATAAAGAAACTTTAATTAGAGGGAAACCATGAAACTAATCATATGACTTGATAACAGCTGTTTTTTTTTTGTTTTGTTTTTTTCCCAGACACTTTGTTATAAGGCTCTGTGTTGATGAGAAAGCTAATGGATATGGAATTATCACCTACGGCAAATAAAATAAATAAATAAATATTGAAATAAACAAAAATATTCAGTCAATTCTGTCTCTGCCACAAGAATAGTATTGTTATTGCAGATTTTAGGTAATGTTCACAATATATGTCAAAAGTGACTAAACTGTAGGAACAGAAAGCAGATCAGTGTCTGCCAGAAGCTGGGGGTCACAGAAGGAGGTGATCTTAAGAAGCACAGGGAAATATTTGGAGTGATAGAATTGTTCCACAATTGAATTGTGGTGTACTTGTGTGCTTTTGTCAAAACTTGCAGGGAGAATATTACTGTACTTAAATTATACCTTAATAAAAAATATTTTATGTGCCTAGCACATAGTAGTCAACAAGAGAAACAGAGAAATAAGTTTTTGCTTTAGAGGATGTGTTATGTTCTAGAAAATGGAAAGAACGTGAGGGCCAGTCCTTAAACTTCATACTCATGTCTTGAAAAGCCAGTGTGATCAGTGTAACAAAAATTGGAATGCCCACAAACCTTGTTTCTATCATTCCCCATTGATATATGGGAATAGGGTTTTAAAAGGGTGGCAGTCGGGCAGGCCCTGTCAGGTCTCTCTACTTTGGAGGTAGAAAAAGCAATTTTTCAAGTAAATGACTCAAGAGAAGTGTATTTAATGGGCCTTTAAACCCAAGGGCTGAGAGCTGCACAGTCGTGACAACACTCTAGGTCACAGTCACATTGGCCAGTAACATTTGAATAAATGAAGCCAAGGCTTTCCCACAACTCTCATGTACTTTGAAAGATGTGCTTCCGCAGATATGTGACTGGGAAGGGGACAGAACACGAGGCACGTAGCAGCCACTGAAGTGGACAGAAGTGAAAGAGGGTCAAACAATGGAGTATTTTGCAAGCTAAAGTTATTGGCATACTATAGCTTTATTCACTACTAATAATGGTGAAAAGTTAACATTTCTTGAGTTCTTACATATAATGTCCAGAAATTTGCTAAATATTTTACATTTATTACTCACAATAATCTATTACTATAGGTATTATTATTGCCTCCATTTTACAGATGGGAGAACTGAGGCTAGGATGTTGAGTGACTTGCCCAAAGTCACAGAGTAGGTAGGTGTGGCAGAACTGGGATTTGAATCCAGTCCTTCATAATCTAAACTTCCTGCTCCTAATCAGTGTCCTACAATGGCTATTCACTCAGTGGAAATGCTTTTTATTAGGTCTTCTAATAGCAATACGTATTTATTGAAGAAAAATATTCCTTCCTTTTATAAATTGCATGTTCCAGAGAGACCTTGTGAAGGACAGATGGATTGAAAATTCAAGGTATTTTAGATTTTTTTTTTTTTTAAGACAGCACGAGCAGGAGGGGCAGAGAGAGAGAGGGAGAGAGAATCTCAAGCAGACTCCGTGCTGAGCGCTGAGCTGGAGGCAGGGCTCCATCTCATGACCCTGAGATCGCCACCTGAGCTGAAACTAAGAGTTGGCCACTTAACAGACTGTGCCACCCAGGTGCCCCTTAGATTTTTAAATGAGGGCCTGAGAGCTCACATCTTTAGTCTGAAGCTTAAATATTACTTTATTTCCAAGGGAAAATAGCAAATCTTTGTGGAGATTGGCAGCATTCTGCTGAGGGTCCTAATGCCTGCACTTCTAACATTAAGGCAGGGCCCTCTGACCTTGCCCTGAAACACCAGAAGCAAGGTTTGGAAAGCTGCACCTCATAAAAATGGGATAGAATAAGCCAGAGCCTTGAAAGATAGCTGAGCAGATATTGAGGTCAAGAACTCTACATGAGTCTTAGTCTAAGTTGAAGCCCAAATCTGGAAATCAAATTCTCTATTTCTTTTTTTTCTTTTTTTAAAATTTTACTTTATTATGTTATGTTAATCACCATACATTACATCATTAGTTTTTGATGTAGTGTTCCATGATTCATTGTTTGCATATAACACCCAGTGCTCCATTCAATACATGCCCTCTTTAATATCCATCACCAGGCTATCCCATCCCCCCGCCCCCCGCCCTCTAGAACCCTCAGTTTGTTTCTCAGAGTCCATAGTCTCTCATGGTTCATCTCCCCCTCCGATTTCCCCCCTTCATTTTTCCCTTCCTATCTTCTTCTTCTTCTTCTTTTTTTTTTTTTTTTAACATATATTGTATTATTTGTTTCAGAGGTACAGGTCTGTGAATCAACAGCCTTACACAATTCACAGTGCTCACCATAGCACATACCCTCGCCAGTGTCCATCACCCAGCCACCCCATCCCTCTCACCCCCCCACCACTCCAGAAACCCTCAGTTTGTTTCCTGAGATTAAGAATTCCTCATATCAGTGAGATCATATGATACTTGTCTTTCTCTGATTGACTTATTTTGCTTAGCATAATACCCTCCAGTTCCATCCATGTCTTTGCAAATGGCAAGATTTCAGGGTTTTTTTGATGGCTGCATAATATTCCATTGTATATATACACCACATCTTCTTTATCCATTCATCTGTTGATGGACATCTTGGCTTCTGGACATAGCTGCTATAAACATCTATTTCTTAAGACTGACAATGATCCTACACCTCTGGAAGCCAGTACATGGAACAATAATAAAGTCTCATAAGCATCCAGAACACAGAGCTTTTATTATATGATGATTTGACTCTGATGAAAGAAAAGTTCTGAAGAATCAGCATTAC